ACCCAAAGCATTCTGTGATTCTATGATAAGAAGCCCTTGCCAGAAGCACTCAGCGCAGGCTGAGCCTGGTTGGCATCTTCCTGGTGTGTGTAGCTCCAGGGCAGCCAGGCACCCCATCCTTGTCGGGATGGTGCCAGCTCCTCTCTCCCATCTCCTCCACAGGTCTCTCTTGTCCCGGCTCCCTCCTGGGGTGGCTGAGGCCATGGTGGTCCTGAGGGCTGGGCTCTGCCCTGGTCTCACCGAGGAGATGATCCAGCTTCTGAGGGCCGAGGGCATCAGGACAGGTAACGGGGTGGCAGTGGGCACTGGGTGTGAGGCTGTCCCGTTTGGATGGCACCGTGCTCTCCTCCTGGGCAGGACCCATCTGCCTGGCTGGGTGCTCGGGGCTGTGAGACAGCCCCTGGAGAACATCTGCCTCTGTGGCTTCAGCTTGCAGCCCAGGAGCTGCAGGAGGGTTTTCTCTGAGACAGGAGGGTGGGCACAGGTTGTCTGCCAGGATCGTGCTGGGCATTGCCTCAGGAGCCTGGGGAGCTGCAGCTCCAGGCTCTGTGCCCTGGAAAGGTGTTAGTGCTGGGATATCCCTCCCGTGGCCTCCTCCCTGGATGAATCCTGGGTCCCCCTGGGTGCCTGTGGTGAGTCAGGAGACTCACTTTGACCCCCACATGGGAGCGGGAGAGTGTTAGGACATGGCAGGGGTCTCTGCAGAGGCTTTCTGAGGGGTGATTAATTATGGCTTTTAGGAAGTATTTTGGGAGGTTTTGTGTATTTTTCCCTCTGAAAAACGCCCCAACTCCAGGCACGCTGCAGCCTGGGCAAGGCCTGCTCTTTCTGGGGTGGATTCTTGTTCTGAAAAACAGAATTAGATCTGAGAAAAACAGCATTTTATTCCTGTTAGATGAGGTCTGTGTGATCCCGTGTGTGCTGGAGCTGGAGGTGTTGGATAGGTTCCTACAGGAACTGTTTTTTACCATTATTTTTTTCAACCAATAACATACATGTCTATCTGAAAAAAATGAATCTTGGAGTGGTTCCTGGAAGCAGAGATGAGGCCACTAGTTATTCTAATTTGTGTCTCTATTCCTTCCTGGCATGCCCAGGGCTGGCACTTTGGGTCAGTCACTAGCCCCTTGAGACTGTGGCACACTGACAGAAGGGGACTCTCTTGGCTGGCCCCACCTGTCAAATGGCACTGGGCAGCTCTTCAACAAAACAGGGAGAATTTTCACCAGCTTCCCTCCCTGATCTGTTTTGCAGTGGACAGCAGGACCATCTCAGAGGAGAAACTCCACTACTCTTTTGTGGGGCATCCTGCTTGTCCACTGGAAGTGTTGTCAGAGGGCACAGACTTTTTGTCTGTTGTTGCAAGCAGGTTTTATTTAGCCTGGTTGTCTCTTTGGTGTTTGTGGTCTGCTCAGGTTTGCCTTCCAACTTCTTGTCCCTCATGTTCTTTGCAGTGGTGGACTTCGTGTCATCAGACCTGGAGGAGGTTGCCCAGAAGTGTTCCCTGTCTTACAAGGTAAAAGCTGGCTCCAAAGTCCTGGTACTTTAATGGGGGAGCTTAGAGCTGTTCAGCTGATGTCTTGGGTGGACTTCTCTGGGAGGAGCTTCTGCAGCAGATGTGTTTGTCCCTGGACTTCCTCAGTCCAATCTGCAGACATCTCCTTGCCCACCAGGCGCTGGTTGCGGTGAGACGTGTGCTCCTGGCCCAGTTCTCTGCCTTCCCTGCCAATGGAGCAGACCTCTATGAGGAGCTCAAGAGCTCCACAGCCATCCTGCCCACTGGCATCCCAAGGTGGGTACCTCGCCCAGCAGGCCAGCAAGTCTCTGCCTGGGGCTGGGCTTTCTGCAAAAGGCTGTGGCTGCCCCAGCACTGGCTTTGAATTTCAACATGGTGATGCCCTGAGCAGCCTCGGTGGTGTCCAAACCATCCCCAGCAGCTGTTTTAAAAACTCCCAGCCACAGCCTGGCTCTGCCTTTTGTGAGCCAGAGATGATTGTTCTTCATGCCCTGTGGCTGCAAAGCCAGCTGGTCTGTGGCCCTTGGGGGAAGGACATTGTCACTGACCCTGCAAGAGCCTGCACACCCTTTGTGCAGTGGTTGTGTCTCACTTCCACACTGGACAGCAGCACTTCAGCCTTTCCCTTGAGTGTTCCAGAGGAGAGGATTATGGATCTGGGAGGACTGTTGAATGGTGATGGTCCAAACTATCTAGATCAGGCATGGAAATTAGTTACTGTGTTGTATGTCCTTACTTCTTTTCCCCTGTCTCCTCACTGGGTTGCTGGTGTGACCATGCAGAGAAACCCTGGGTGTTCAAACCTTGCTCCCAGAACCAGCAGCTCTCCTGCAGTTCAGGACTGGCCTCTTGTAGCCCTGACACTGCAGATCTGCTGTTGCCTGTGATGTGGAGAGGGACAATGCGAGGAGAGGAGCAGAGCCTGAGGCAGTTGTCTGTATTTGGGGAGGGGACTCTAGGGGCAGCTATCTGGGGACTGCTACTTCCCGATGTCCCTGCCTGAAGGGGACGTTCTTGCTCCTTCTGAACTGGTTGGTACTCCCACCTTGTGTTCAACCCTAGCCTGGACCAGCTGTTGGACTCCGGGCTGTACACGGGGGAGGTGACAGAGCTCATGGGAGCCCCGGGCAGTGGCAAGACGCAGGTGAGCGGGGTGGAGGAGGGGCCAGGCACGGCGGGGATGGTGCCTTCAGACCCGTGGAGCAGAGGACCTGGGAGAGCTGGCTGACACCCAGTCCCTGCCCCTCCAGGTGTGCCTGGGCATTGCAGCCAGCGTGGCTCTGGACCTCAGGCAGGACGTCCTGTTCCTTGACTCCACGGGGGGGTTCACTGCCTCCCGCCTCTGCCAGATGCTTCAGGCCCGGACAGAGGACAAGGAAGAGCAGGCACGTTCCCCTGGGGGGTCCCTCCACTCTAAAACTCCCTTGGCTCTCACCTGCAGATGCCCCACAGAGACAGTCCAGCTCTGCCTTTGTCCCCATGGGGTTTTCTTGGGTCCAAACCCTTCCTGCCATGGCTGGGTGGGTGCTGTGCTCAGGGACAGATGCTGTTTTTCCCCTGGGGAGAAGGGGAGGGCCTGCTGCAGTTCCTCACGCTCCCTGAGCTCCATCTGCCTTGCTTCTTCCATCAGTGCAGTGGGG